TTTTAAAGTCAATGCGCATCTCCTTGCATTTGTCAGCGTTCAGTTCCATCCTATTTTCGATCGACCACGCCTCAACAGCGGAAACTGCGCTTTGTACATCACTAGTCAAACCTCGCGGTATCGTTTGGGCGATAGTCGTGTCGTCTACATACTTCCAAGTGAGCGCGTCGACCTCAAGATCGTTGATCATTAATAAGAACAACCAGGGACCAAGCTTGGTCCCCTGTGGCACCCCGGCGGGGACTAGGCCCCACTCTGACCGGCAGTCTGATGACAGCTTGACACGTTGTTTCCTGTCTGACAGAAAATCCAGCACCCAAACGCGAACCCACCGTGGCATGTCCAAGGCTTCGATCTTTCTGGCCAACAGATTGTGATCAATAAGATCGAAAGCCTTACGATAGTCGAAAAGTACCACTCTAACAGCCGCGCCCGTGGCGTCAGTGGCTTGTGACCAGTTATGTACCATGGATATCAAAGCGTACAAGGTGGAGGATCTTGGAATACCGCCGTATTGGTTCGGGTCTATAATCTGCAACACCGCTGGACCGACGTATCTGAGTACCACAAAATCTTCCGCAACCTTAGAGATAGCGGGCGTCAAGGAGATAGGACGCAGGTGCTTAGTAGCATCTACCACGGGTTTTTGCTTTGGGAGAGGCACCACATCCGCAAGCTTCCAAGGGGCGGGAAGCCTTTGTTCTCTAAAGCTCGCGTTCAATATAGATGTGATAGGCTGTACGAGGATCTCTGCATATTCCCTCAAAAGCCAGTTACCGATGTCGTCAGGTCCAGCTGCCTTACGCGGGTTTAGATTGGTTAGAGCGTATAGGACATCAAATTCCGTAATTAAAGGCACATCGGAGTCCTCCGCCTCTGTAGGGACAGCGTATAGGGGTTGGTAATGCTTCGTGGGTTCTAAGAACACAGCGTTGATGGCGTTAGCTAGTTCAGCGTCACTTAGGCGATCGAAGCTATCCCCGAGCTGCAGGTTGGAAAGGAGACTTTCAGATGATGAAGCGGGATTCATACTGGCGATTCGTTTAACTGCGCTCCACCACTGCGAGGGCTTGGTGTTCTTTAAATTATTCACTTTGCTTGCAAAGTATTTGCTGCGAAGTGATTTGCGCGCGCGGTTGACATCATTTCGATATCGCCGGTATTGTTCCATGTCTCCATGGTGGAAGGCGTGTTGACGGAGCTTAATGAGGTTCTTGAACCGCTCAGTAACCCACGGGGGATCATTCAAGTGAAGTCTGACATGTTTAACCGGCATTAAGTGGTCGAGACCAATTTTGATGAAATCCGTAAACAGCACCAATTTAGCCTCGCAGTTAGATGCTTCGCTAACCACTGACCAGTCGATAGACGCGAGGAAACGCCCAAGCTCTGACTTGCGACTGGCCCGAGTGTCCCGCTTGGAAAGGGTTCTTCTACTTGGGCCTTCCCTTGGAGCACGAGTTGTTGGGTGCACGATGACGACATTGTGATCCGATAGACCAAACGGCGGTAAAATCTGTACGGAATTTATATCGTACAAATCTGGTTGATTGGTTAAGACCAAGTCCAGGATCTGATCACCCCTAGTGGGCTTGTTGACCAATTGCCGCAGTCTGAATTGTGCAGCTAAACGATTCACCTTTAACCGATTGAAATCGCCGCAGAGTAGAATCCCGCAACCTGGGAATTCTCCCTCAACAGTTGTCAAAGTTGCTGATAGATAGTCTAACAAAGCAGTGTCTCTGGCGCTGTCGTTGAAGAAAGGGTGGTAAATCGTGGCCGCGACAATACAGGGTATCCCGCGCGGAAGTCTTTTTGGTCTTAACCACGCCCAAAGAGCTTCGTACTCAGGGTCTTGTAGGTGATCAAGAGATCTATACCTAATCGAGTCCACTATATAGAGCCCAATCCCTCCGTGAATATCCGTGGTGCGGTTTCTTGAAATAAACGAGTATCCAGGAATGTGGAGGTGGTTTCCGCTGATGGTGTCCCTCAGCCACGTTTCAGTAATGAACCCTAAATTAGGTTTGAAGTCCAAGATGGTAGAACGAACTTCGTCAATCTTAGGCGCCAGAGACATCGTGTTTGCAAGCATCAAGCTCAGACCAAACACGCTACGCGATTCAATAGGACGATCCGTGATGACTGGAAACGTATTGTCATCGGTCCGAGAGTTTCCCGATGGTAATCGGGAAGTGTTCGTTCCGTTCTCGGGCGACACCGGCGGAACAGAAAGGTTGTTTGTTTTGCTGGCTTGAGAGGTGTTACCTTGAATATTTAATAAGCTCGACGAGCGGTTATGCAAATTACTAGATTCGTGGTCTTGTGTAGCATTTTGGTCAGAACCCATCGAATCATCTTCATTTAGAGTAGGAGAGACGTTGGCACGGAATTGTCTTGCAGTTCCTAGGCACGATACACTGTTACTTCGCTTTCTGCGACCGCCACGGTAGCCCCGACGTGTAGATTTTATGCGAGTGATACCGTGCTCAGTGAGGCG